ATATATATATATATATATATATATATATATATATATATATATTAGTGTTTTAACAATTTGTGTTTAGAATTCTCCTCCACACTTTTCAGGTTGACTTACTTAGCACTTATCTGATGTAAACGCGAATAATCGCCTCACATCATTAAGTCAAGTTCATTGTTCTGGATGTCGTTACCATCTGTGTCATTTTACTTGCACACCATCCAATCGATAAGGGAAATAATGGTGATGTCATTTGTGACATCAATCATTCCCTCATCCTTTCGAACTGTCTGTTCAGCTCGCTTCTTTCTCTGACTAGTGAATACATTTATGTTTTATTCCTATGTCTACTCTTCTCGTAATGCTGTGGTTGCGTGAACTCGCGCATGTGCCTCTTACATGACCAACCTCTTTTACGTTATTGATCAGGCATCCCTGTATCAATGTTTCTTTTTTGAACACGTTCATTTAACTGGCTGATTGTGTAGACTCACGTCTACTGAACAAGAGTGTCTGTAGATTAATTATTGACAGTATTTGCTGGTGGGCGACTGTAAAAGCAACCGTATTCAAATCTTCTACTACGTCTTAATCGCGAAGAACTGTAATTAAATTTTGTTACGTAGTTGCTTAAATTTCTTACTGGTTCTTACTCCTTTTTAATAATCTCTATACATATAATATATGTATATTTGTCACTATGTATGCAAGCACGTAACGTGCACATCAATTTTCATTCATATGCAATTACTTCAGTCCATCATTACACACAAACATCTTCCTCTCAGTATGTAATTTTAGAAAGAATACAAATTTTTTTAAATTTTGTTGTATCTGTTAGAAAGAAAAAAATTCATCATTTAATTATTCTGCTGAATCTTTGTATGCATTTATTTCTTACAGTATTGTTATAGACAAACGTCATTGACCTTTTCCTTGACGTTACTTCATTTAGCTTTTAAAAAGCAGGTTATCTGTTTGTTTTCGCTTGTTTTTCTTGTGATTTTTCAAAATTAAAGAAAGTTATCTCTTGTGGACAGAAAGCAATAACTTTTTCTTGTATAACTTTAGGCGAATTTGAAATGCTTTTTTGTTCTACATTAGCGTTGAATGTATTGATGCTTGCAAGTTGTTTTGTATGCAAAATTTATTCCCTTGCACTTTGAAACTATGAAAATTAATCAAATTTTCACTTGATATTAAATTAAGCTTGCTTTGGTTCTAGTTACTGCATATTTTATCTCATATATGCCATATTTCTGTTATTATTTTTTACTAAGTAATTGTTTTTTTTGTAGTGGAATTTACAAAGGAGTATACATTATCTGCGAAATGGCTTTAAATCAGTTGCTTGGAGTAGTTGGTCGTGTTACTATTAGAGGTATTTGTCAAATTGCGCCAAAATGTGCAGCATCAACAATAAGCATGCGTGATTCAATAAGAATGGCAATGGACGAAGAAATGACACGTGATGAAAATGTTTTTTTACTTGGGGAAGAAGTAGGATATTACGATGGAGCTTACAAGGTTTCTCTTCGATACCAAATATGCTTAATTTCTTTTAAACGTTCAAAATTTGTATATGAAAGAACCAATTTCTCCCCGAAAAAAAGTGCTTGATATCTCGGTATGAATGTACAAGAGTGCATCATTCGTAATATACATTTAAAATAGTACAAATTATAAATAATTTTCAAGGGATGTAGTATCAAAATGTGTACTGAGCTTTTTTGATACTGTTGATGTGGCATAAATTAAACTTATATGCTGTTTCTAGTCATATCTTTTTGACTTTATCATCCACATATATCTAATCGCAGTTGCTTAAGGTATCAAAAGGATTAATGCGTAAATTTGGCGAATCTCGTGTTATTGATACTCCAATCACTGAAGCAGGTTTCTGCGGTTTAGCAGTAGGTGCAGCATTTGGTGGTCTCCGCCCAATATGTGAATTTATGACTTTTAACTTTGCAATGCAATCCATCGATCAGATAATAAACAGCGCAGCTAAAACTTATTATATGTCAGCAGGGCAGGTGAAAATTTTAGTCGCATTTTTACATTTTCTCCAGTTGCAAAGAAAATTTGGGATCGAATATTAAGCAGGACTTTGACGTAGTGATGTGTTAAAATTTAATTCTCTTTTTTTAATATTAATATGTTTATACCTTAAAAATATGCAGGTACATTGTCCAATTGTTTTCCGTGGACCTAATGGAGCGGCTGCCGGTGTTGCTGCGCAACACAGTCAAGATTACTCTGTTTGGTATGCACATGTTCCTGGACTAAAGGTAAGGTTCATTTTTAATGCAAGCTCATCGTTTAAAAAAAAAAGTAAATTTACATTAATTTACATTCAGGTGAAGCAGACAAACTACATTTCACAGATCTGATTTTGGATTTTGCAGGTTGTGACACCATACTCCTCTGAAGATGCCAAAGGCTTGCTGAAATCAGCTATTCGTGATGATAATCCCGGTATAGTTAACTTAAATTTTTGAGACAATAGTTGCAGAAAAAAATATTTTGTTAAGAATTTTCTCTTTAAGTAAATTTACTCTCCACTTTTGTTCATTTTCGAGAATCGATTAAGCACAAACGTGACCAAATAGATGAATGAGTGCAGCAAATGTGTTTAAGTCTAGTCACCTGTGTACTGGAATTTTGGATAGTGTGTTAGGCGTAGTCTCTAATTAGTCGATGGTTTTTTCTTATATATATATATATATTCTGGTGCGCAGACGGAATTCTCACTTCTTCTACTATCTTATCTACTTCCCATTTGTTTTCTAGATAGTCCTAGAATCGGTTTTTTTTGTTGCTCTTCCATTTCAGGGTTTTTTGTTGTTCCTCCATTTTTTGTCAGACTTTTGATATCCTGACTGCAAATCAGCACTGCATTCTTCTACCTTGGATTTTCCAACTTTTTCAAGAGTAGTCGTTTCTTCCTCTCTGTTTATCTTATGCTTATGTCTAATTTTTTCCCCTGTTTCCTTTCTTCTGAAGTACTACAACTAGGGTTTGGATGAGTACTGTCGTTATGGTTCATTACTTCTTTCTGCTTCTTGGAAGTAGCCTTTGAAGCAGGTTTCCATGCATTAAATAATGATCTGATTATTTGCTGGAATGTTCTGTTGTATTACTACCATTCTGACGTTCTTGACTATGATATAATTACTTTTGTTGTTGGAACTGATCGCACTGGTATTTCAGCTAGTTACTTTCATAGCAGAGGCATGAATTCTCCATAGCAAAGTAAGGTAAAACAGAGATAGCTATAGAAACCAGAAATAGCGATGTGATAATGTGTTTCTTCCAAAATCAGAGAAAGTTTGTTTTTCAGAATTACCTTAAACTTGAGTAATATATCTGTTTGTGTTTGTAATGTGCATAAGAGTCGTGGACTTAGATATTTTGCTTTTTAGTACTTTGGTTTTCAGAAATTTAGTGCCATCGCTTTAAATTATACAGTTTTACAAGAATCTTAGCAATTATTAAATTTTGTACATTTTCTTTTTTCAGTTGTGGTTTTGGAAAACGAACTATTATATAATGAGATTTTTCCAATGTCGGATGAGGCTTTGAAAGATGATTTCTTAGTGCCTATCGGAAAGGCGAAAATTGAGCGGGAAGGTAAGGATATAACACTTGTCTCATATTCGCTTGGTATGGTTCCAACGATGAAAGCTGCAGAAGAACTCGCAAAAGAAGGCATCAGTGCCGAGGTGTTTTGTTTTTTCTTTCCCCAGTTTTTTTCGACTTGTATTTCATTCTATGACCTTTTTCGCTTATTATTTATTTATATTTATCTCATGCAGGTGATTAATCTACGTTCTCTTCGTCCGTTCGATTTTGAAACGATTAAAAATTCAGTAATTAAAACTCACCACATTGTGACCGTCGATAACGGCTGGCCGTTTTGCTGTGTTGGTTCCGAAATATGTATGCAGGTTTGTACTTTCGTGTTGTGCAAGATTTGTTTTTGCTTGAAAAATTTTGATTTTATGTTTAGTGTATATAATTGTAATCATTATTTGGAATTAAGTTGAACGAATCGGATGCTTATGATGCACTGGATGGTCCAGTATATCGAGTCACTGGTACTGATGTTCCAATGCCATTTACAGAAAAGCTTGAATCAGCTGCACAGCCCCAACTTGCTGATGTAGTAAAAATGGCGAAGAGATCATTGAAAAAATGAGATGTAATAAAATTAATCATGCTTATTACATGAAAGTTCGAAAATCCTCATATTGTGGTTATTTCAAGTAAATTTTGGTTCCGAGATCGCTGAGTACTATTCACTTTTCTGATGTTTATGTGTTAGCGTGAATTCTTATTTATTCAGAAAAAATTTCGATGCCATTAAAAGTGTCTCTTCTGAAATATTGTGATTCTTCTTTTTATCTAGATTCAGTGCAATCCATGTATGAATGTGCTAGTTTTTTATAATAGTTTAAATAATAATTCATTTTTTGAATGCATTTCATCCGCTGTTAATTTCAAGATACATCCAATTGCTATTTTATTCTGATCTCTTCTTGTATGGAATGTTATAATTGCTTTTCGCTGCTGACACTTTCAAGTAAGATCTTTTTACACTGAAGTGATTAGGAAATAATAGAGATGGTATTTTTTAGTATGACAAGGCGTAATACATTATATCTACTTTCTTAAAGCAGTTTTACAATAATACGTTACAATTGCATGCTCTTCTCAGGGAGACTACTAATAAAACAGGAGCTGTGATTGGAATAAAATATACTGAAATATTCAAGCAAGTTGTATTTCAAGTTTTTGTGTCGTCGTTTAGAATAACATCCAGAAATGGGGAAGTGGTGTGCATCATAACTAATATTTCTGATTTGAGTGTGCATTGTCATGGAGCATTTGAAGGTTTGCTGTGCATCCTAGATTTGGAAGCTGTCAAGAAGTTTACTTATTTCCTCAATTTTAATAGCATGTAAAGCAAGTACTTTTGCATAATTTTACTGTTCAGCAATAGATGCTCGGACTCGACGTCGTAATCTTGGCACAACGTCCCTGATGATTTGTGACGTTTTCCGTTCACCTTTGGTGACTTGGAATAAGCGTGTTAAAGTTGGGTCACATTTTTTGTTGTCAACCATTTTCAAACAATCTTCAGTTAAAGCTCTGGAATTAAGACATGTAAATTGTCTCATTACTATATTGTGAGTAATGAAGAATCCAGTTAGAGACTTTTAAATTGGAATGCTAGAACTTCTGGTTAATTTGACTTAGTGTCTGCAGTTTTTTCTCATTTTTTTCTTCCTTTTTTTGACTCTCAGATTATTTTTCAGTTATTCAAATTTGAAATGGCAAAATAAAAATTTTTTAGAAACCTAGAAATAGTATATTTTTAATAAAACAGTATTTTAAGTATTCACTGAGACAAAACTTCTGAATAATAACCGTGATTCACTGCTTGTAACATCATCACGAATATCAATAAGTGCAAAAAGAAATTCCTGCGTCATTTCTGGATATTTCCGTAATATTGAAACTATTTCCAAAGAGAGCATATCACGATCTCGAAGTGCAATAAATTCAGCGATTGAACAAAGCAAGTTTGTTAAGTTTTTTGTCTATAATTGATGAACAAGCAGTAAACAAGAAGAAATATGAAGTTTTAGAAGTTTTTTTTTCTTTTAAAAAAATAGTGTGAATTTTACTTGAACGATTGGTTAGTAATAAACGTTAAATGCTAGTTTACTACTTCAACAGGTAATAAATTCTAATACTGAGATCCGAATAGCAGTGATTAGTATCAGCTAGCGATTGAATAACATTATCAGCGCAATGTTTGTAACAATGGAAGGAAATACCTCACAGTTTGGATTAAGTTTTTCAAAGATAGAATGAAAAGTAAGATTGATTGCTGTAGCATCATTATGTAAACATTTTGCAATTATGCAGCGTTTTCGATATTCTGTACAAGTTAATTTTCTGAAAACGAGTTACAGTTCTTGATAGTTCAAGTTCCATAGTCATTTTCAAGATTTTTGTCGTATTAACTTTATGCAGAAAGATTTCATTGTATAAATTCTATAAATATATTTTTTAATAAAAGATTAAAAGTAATGTATAAAAGTTTGCCTGCTAGCAATGATGTTTAAATATTCAGTTACAATTTTGAATTTTATACAGCGAAGTACTTCTTCATGTATAGTTCTTGTAAGATGTTTGTAATCAACTTCATAATCTCGTATCGTTTCACAAATTGTATCAATAATATTTGAATTTTTCATCCTAAAAAATTATTATTCTTGAAGACTTCTTTTTTTTTTTAAATTTAAATTTATATACAAATTGGAGTTCATCATATCAGCAGCACTAACTTTGTAAGATCTTATTCATACTCCTAATTGTTAATCTCATTTATATCACTATTATCACTATCGTTAGCATAAATCACTTCAAAAGCATCTGGCTGACTTATATTATTCAGATAATTAATTTGATAATACCACTGTTTGCTTAAAAGTTGATCAAAGCAACTCCACAAATCGTTGTATATTTCGTTACAAAGTATATCAGTTCTGAAAAATAAATTCTTAATTAACAACATACCAAATTTTTACTAGCAAAAACTGCTCAATATATTGCTCAAAATATTAGGTATGCATTCAAGGAGAATAAACAATGGTGTCCTTTTTAATTTATATACAGATTAAGTTTTATTACTATTTTCATGTTAGTTGTTTTACTTCTTAAACAACCAAAATATTAGTGCATCATATTATTTAGTTCTATTAAAATGGTATCAAAATTAATCGAAAATTGTATTTGAAAATTTATAAAACATCTTTATGGACTAGTCAAACCATGTGTCCTTTAGATTTTTTAAATTTTGATTTGTCTTGTTGGCTTTTAAAAAGTACAGAAATAAAATTGCAATAAATTTAGATTAATTGCATGAAGAGGAAACTTTTACATTGTACGGAGCATATTGTTGAAACGTGCTTTCATGATTTCGATCTTTTTCCAAGCAGCTTCTGCTGGTTCTTCATCTTCAAGCTCAATTTCTATTCCTTCGAAAGCATTTTCCTCAGATGTTAATGATGTGATATTTGCATGTACTTTTGGAATATCCCGAAGAGCATTAACAGCATCGTGAATTGCATCTTTAACTTTCTTGGTAACATTCTTAACTTTTTTTATATTACAAATCTTATGCACGTTATTCTGTCTTAAAGACTTAGTGGTTGGTAAGTTTTAGAAAAACTTCACTACTATGGAAGACATTTATTTTTGTTTCTATAAACAGTACATGAAAAATTTGTATACTCTCTGCAGTTTAGAGTTATTAAAGTGTTAAAATTGATAATATAGCCACGCATAATGCAGAGATGAAGCAAATTTAAACACGAAGAAATGACTGAAATCGTCAATGTAAATATTTACTGAACAGAAAGTAAATACTTTATCAAAAGAGAATGAAACGCAAGAACTGTAATAACATCTTTAATATTGCTTCATTTTAGTGGAAATAATGATGAAAATATTTGTAATCTGAAATGAATTTTTGGGATTTCAAGTTTTGAACAATATTTTGCATCTTACGATCTAAATGCTTGTGTTGTTGTAGGCTTCCAAGTTTATTTTTTGATGACAGTGATTCTGTCGAGACACATTTTTCATTTTCAATTTTGTCTTCAGCAGAAGTTTTGTTTCTCAATCCTTCGATGAATCTCTTCAGTTTTTCAGTTGTTTCAGCACATTTATACAAATTATTCGCCACCGCAATCTAATATGCAAAAAATTGAAAATTAATTTTTTTATTTTTGATAGATAATTTGCGCATATCCAAATTTGTTTATTTATATAATAGTTACCATTATTTTTGTACATCCTGCAATGTTTTCTGCTTGATCGGATTCTTTATCTCGCATTCGATTGATAGAATCTATCACAACAATCTTACAGACAGTTTAAAAAGTAGGAAAACAGTTATCAAATGTTGTAATTAATAGCTTTAATTATATCATAATTGTGAACTACTTTAATTATATCATAAGTGACATTAAATGCATTCGTACTTATTCATTGCCTTCACAAAATTTTTTGAAAATAAAACAAATTTTCATTTCAAAAGGTCTTCCTTTTTTGAACATAAATAATCAAATATAAAAATAAATAATTTAGGGTATAAAATAGTATGCATAAAATTCTATATAATTAGTCAGTAAAGTTATGTACAAATCATACCTTCTAAATAGGGACAAATCAGTCTGATATATTCACAGAGGCATTCGTTTAAGACACGTGGAACAATTTCATCGGAAATTTCACAAGCCAAAGTCATCTGAATAATACAAATACATCTAAAGCAAATCGTAAAGTATTTACTTCTTGACTTCGCTCATTACTCTGTGATTGATTGTAACATACAGCTGACTGACGTTACAGTAAAGCGTTCTGTTTGACTAAATCTAATAAGCTTCGTAAAGTTTGTGTCAGCTATGATGGAGAGTTTTTATCTACAAAAATACGATTTAATACTCCTGTATTTAAATTAATTGCTTCGCTGATCAACTTATTACAGTGAATAATTATAGATACCTGATCATTTATAATCGAATACAGTATATGTGGTAAGTGAGTATAGTAATATCCGAATTCATCTTCCATTATGCTTTTTTCCAATTCTTGCATATTAATAAACTGAATTTATAGCACTTATGTTTTAACAAATGCCCACTTTGATATTTTTTTAAACTATTTTTTTGAAGTAAATGATGTATTGACAAAATTTGTCAATGATTTTATGTAATATTTTTTTGAGAAAAGCAAAAACAACAAATATGAAAATAAATAAAAATCATCAAAAACTGCATAATTTTGAAATTAGAACAATTACATCTAATAAAATTAATAAGATCAAATTGCGAAAAATGTTTTATGCATGCATTACAATTTACAAATTTGCAAGTGTATATGCACGTAGATCAAAAAAATTATCTCTAATTTGTAATCACTTATAAAAATATTTTTAATAGATGACAGAACTAATTATTAAGTGTTGAATTATTTAAGATATGTTATGTGTATGCATTCTCAAAAACTGATTGCAATTTATTATTTTTTGACATTTATAGCTTTAGAAATGCTTGCAAATAACATGCGCAACTTACCTCTTGCTTTACACTTTTTAATGCCCATTTTGCTGTTTCGGATTTCAATATTTCAATAAACCTAAAAAAGTATCTGCGACTTATTTTTTCGCATACTTAAAAAGTTATTAAAAGTTTTATCCTTTTAAGCATACATTTCAAAAAGGCGTAAAAGTTCGTTTCGTTCCAGTAATGGCTTATTTTCAATCAAATTAACAGTATCAATTTCCAGAAATGCCATACCAAGCATATGTTCACCACTGCAAATATGAATATTTTCACCGACTTACTCACTTATGGAAATCATACAAATATTTGATATTATCATTATTTCTTCTTGTCACAGATTCAGTGTTTATTTTTGTTCAACGTTTATAATTTTGAAAAAACTGATTAAGAAGCAAATCTTGAAAAAATTAAAATTTTTTATAGCATCGCTAAAAATATTGTTCATCTGCTATCATTACAAAATTTTGATAAAATTTTCAACTACTAAAAAAGTTATTATTTCTATGATATGAATAAAAAATTATTATCGCAAAACTAAAATATGATGACTTGAAAAAGTTTTACGCAACAGATATCAATTTAACAAAAAATTTTTTGAAAATATTCATTATTGATAACTTGAAATGTTTTGTGTCTAAATTATTTTATTGTGTAAGCCACTGAAAAGTAATTCCTCCACAACCATATTTGCTGACCTCACTTATTAATATGCAGTAGAGGTGTAAAAATTAATATTATAAATACACATTTATTCTATGGTTGTGGAAGTTTTTGTAATGGATAAACTTACGGATACTGACGAATCCAGCCTAAAAGTTGTATCAATTCCCGCTTATTTAATTCGCTTTTTGCCATTTCGAATATCTGTAAATCGATGCAGTGATTTTTAATGATTTGTTTATACTTTTTGGCATTTTTTTATCCAAAAATTTTCCCTAATAGTTTTTTTATGAATGAATTTCAAACTAATTGCATTTGAGTAATGAAAAATTGGCATATTACTTGTCAGTTTCATATTTTATAACATCCAATATCCTTAGAAAAAAACATTATTAGTAACATAAAGGTGATCATATGTTCATTAAGCAAATATTTAAAGTGGTCAGCAAGCTTCAAAAAATTATAGCTATATAATTAATTCTTCATCTAAAATAATAAAAAACAAACACCATAATCACTGCTCGATTTTATTAAAAACTGATTTGTACTGTTAATGTTGTTTAAACTTTCAAAAAGTAGAACTTTCAAAGAGCATGTATAATATTAAATAATGTATACTTTATTGCTGATTCCATTGTGATAGCAAGTAACAAAATTACTGTAAAGTTGGTGATCTTTTGGAAAAATTTTCAAGAAATGCTTGGCTGCATAAAGATCTTCCACAATATATAATCGACAAATTTCCAAATTCCTGCTAATGTTAAGCATTTAATTACTTATTTTTCATAGATAAAAGAATAAATGGCTGTCTGAAGAGGTTAAGCTTTAATAAATACACTTAACTTTTCAATTATTAATTTACACTGCTTAAAAAAATTTCAATGATAATTTGTGCAAGTTATAAATTATTGATGCTTTCATTTTTCCACACTTCTTCGACAGATATAAAAGTGTATATGATTAATATATACGCTTATTGATATTAAAGTAAACTTAATCACCATACCTTATCAGCCAGTTTTTGTTTAATTTTCTATCTTCGATTTGAAATGCTTCTATTCGTTGCTGAATTCGTTCTTCAACAATATCAAAAAGCATTTGACGCCAGCAGTGTGGACGATTGACGATTTTGAATAGATTATTTTCGTATAATTTATCAACTCTCCAGAATTAATTTTTTATAAGTTGACAACAATTGCAGAAAAAAAAATAGCTCATGTTTGATCTAGAAATATACTCCAATACTAGTCATATATTTGGTATTTTTTTTTCATTTGATCACAAAATGAGATACTTACTTGTTATCTAATTCAACTGCTCGGAGAACCACTTCAAGCTGTTTTTTCGTTTCTTGATTTTTTCCACGTATAATATCAATGCCTCGAGAGCAATAATACTTTGCTTCTTTTAAAAAATTTGCATATATATCTTCAAGTTGATTATAATACGGTGTTATGAGCTGTAAAACAAGGAATCAAAAATTCTCTTTCTCATGTTATTATACCATTTCTAATTTAAACTCATATTTGTAAAGAATATCTTCAACATATAAAAAATTCAATTTTAAATATACTTCAATGTCATAGTATAAACATAACACATTAAAAACGTACAAAACAATTTTGTTTTAGATTTTTGAGCCAAACTCACACTATACTCAATATTTTTTAATGTTTTATAAATAACAGATTTTATTTAGAAATAAATTTTAATTGCATAGAAATTGAATTTTTTGTTGAAAAATGCATTAAGTAGAGAAATCATGAAAAATATAATAAATGTTATGAATTTTTAAAAGCAGTGGGCTGAACACAGTAAAAATTTGATAATATGTTTAAAACAGTTATATATTTTGAAAATTTCGTAGTTTAATTGTTATTAACCACATGTTTTATCCTTCCCTGCATTGTTTATTTTTTTAAAATACCATTACACGAATTTAAAATTGACCTTAATGATATTATCGTAATTGTCATGAGATTTGGCTATTGAGAGCAAATGATATCTGATACTTTCAACTTTCATCAATCTGAAATATTTTGACATAGTTTATATTTAAAATTATATCACGAATTGTATATTAATAAAATGTATTGAATTTAATGTCTCCTCCTATGTATTATATGAAAATATAGAGGTAAATTTATATTTTAGTATCTGTTTATGACAAAAAGCTAACATTCTTGACAAAATATGAAAGTAGTTGTTGCCATGAAAAAAATAAGTGGCAAGTTTTTAATTGCTATTTGTACAGTTTATGCCAAACAAACTTTTCAATAGCAGTAAGAAGATTGCCATCGTTGATAGAATCACTAATATTTTCATAAATATTTTGCGTTTCTAAGAAATTCTTTAAATTCTCGCAGAAGTTAATCTCACGAGAATGTGTTTCTTTGAAATATTTTTTCACAGCAAATAATTCTTCCTGATGAGCCATATCTTCATCAGTGCTAAGAAAAAATGAAGTTTTTGTAATCCATCAAAAAAATTTTCTGAAAGTATTTTCCACTTTTATAAAAAAGAGATTTCATCTCTTGATTACAAATTGGTGTACTGATTGGTATTTATACAAATCGCTAAGTTCAGAGTTGAGAAGGAGCTAAAAATTAAACATCCACATCATATAGACACAAACGAGGCATAATAACAATTCAGTACAACATACGTGAACTGAACTTGAATGAAAACTGAATAGTTTAAGTTAAAATATTAGTTAGGTACCGTAAATCTTCCGTACATTGACCATTAATGTCCATCAAATTTTTTTCAAATTCCTGCATACACGTTTTACCATGCTCTTGATTCGACTTCTGTAACTTGAAAATTCCATCAAATAAATAATTGAGATTGAAAAATATTTTAAAAAGATTTCACAAGATAAAATAGAATCAAATTAAAATGTAGAATATTGAAATAATATTGTTCAAACATGATAAAGTTATTATTTCAGTACAAAATTTTCTTACTTGGCTATTAAATGCATTTATACAATAAGTTCGCCAATTTCTCGGACGATTCGAAAAACTTTTTAGACTGTTATCGTTGCATAACTTGCTATCACTATCTAATCTAAACCATATAAACATAACAAACAAATTTCTAACTATATGAGCTCAATAAAATGTGAAAATATTAATTATAAAAATAACTGAAAAAGGGACAGTTACAAAAATTAAAACATTAAACAAATTAGTTTGAAAGAAAAAAAATTGTTAAAATGAAGAGGTCAAATGTGAAAAAGTCTTTAGATGTGAAAGTTAGATCTCTAAAATTGGAGATGCATCAGAATTTTGTACAATTTTTTACATTATTTTTATAAATTATAAAAAAGAGCACAGAATGAAAAATAGTGAAATGATGAGATTTGAAATTACTTTTCAATAATTAAGAACAAACTACAATGCAACAATCATTAGTGTGATAATTAATGAGAATTTTATGACTAGTCTGGCATGCACATGTTAAAAAATAGGAAAATTGACTTACTTTACTTCATATTCAATAATTTGCATAATTTGCTGCACTACATCAGCACTGATACCCCCGATACTTTTAGCACTGCTACATGAAAAATTATTGCTGCTTGCTGTAGTACTTGCACTAGCAAGTGTCAAACGAATAACATCACGTATTTGAGCAGCCATTACTTCTACAGCATCGAAATATTGTACAACAAACTATAAATATATTATCAAGACTTTGATTCAAAAAGTAAGATTTGTTTGATATCTCAGTGATTACTTTAAAATAAATACTTTAAGAATTAATAAGTTTCAAAACAATATCATTACTGTCTTGTTTTGTAAGTATACAAAGAGCTATTTTACAGCAGCGACTACAAGAATGACAGACTTTGGAGTCATATCATAACTGATTAAAATCACTTTAGAAATCATGAAAAATAAATTTCAAAATTACTTTTTGCTATCAAGATACATCGCTCAAAAAATGCTTAGTAGCGGAAAGCTTAAGTTTATTAAAATTAGATTTTACTTGTCTTTCATTATCTTCATCGATGAGTTGTAATAAGTCATCACGGCATTTTTCATATTTGATGAAACTGAAATAGATTCACAAAAAAATTCGCTTTCAAGTTTTCATGAATTTGATCAGTTGGTAATGCCATGATTAATCAAAACTTAAAATAGATAAATGAATATGATAATATATTTAAAAACTAAACAATGCTCATTTTTCAGTGTTTTACTGTAATTAATTGAAAATTTGGAATTAAAATTATGCCACAAAAATAACCAAACGAATAGTTTATTTAAAAAAAGAAAAATAAATTAAATGAAATAAACTATAAATGCTTTTGTAAGATTTTATTCTCAAATTTATTGCTTTGCACAAAGTGTTAAGATTGAATAGATTAAATTTCAAAAATGCAAAAAAATATTAGCTTCTATCTCATTTTCACAGTTTACTTTAGTCTTCTATATGATTTTGTACTAACCTACCATTCAAAAATACATATATTTCTAAAAAGTCATACTGATTATAGCATTCTAACTTTATATGTATCATTTCAGTTTACTTCCTTCCATAACAGATATCTGACATCGCTACTTTTTTGTTATAAAAAATAAACCACAAAATAATTTAAAATGTTGAAATAAATAAAATATTTATCAATTCTGGCTTTGTTATCTCCCAGTAACACATGAAAGGAATTTTTTATTAAAAATGTTGTAAGTCCTAGTTTTATTAACATTGTCCCAGAATTTTTTAATATAACATCAATGCAATCAAATGAAATTTTAAATCCAAAATTTGAGAGATTGCATTGCAACCTGTAAAATTATGAGAATTCATCAAAACTTGAAGTAAAACATACTTTATATCATTGATAAGTAAAAAAAAAGGTATAGAAGTACAAATATTTATATGCATAAACTATTGCAAAAGTAGAACAATTTTTAGGTAGTTTTTCATTTAAATTTAAATGTCTTAAAGTTTACTACTCTAGCAGTAAAGAATTTTTCAATCGTTTCTCAACATTTTGAAGAACTAACTTTTTGTAAGCTTTAAGCAGTCTTCCATTGAGAATATTTGACTTCACATCTGTTACGATATTTGCAGAATCCAAAAGAAGACTTAAGCATAATGCTAATTTACTTCTCATTCTTATATAATCTTTCAGATATGGCAATAATTCCATTATCGTTTCCTTATTAATCATCAATTTTTGTATTCTATAATCACGCAAATTATAGAGCTTTAAAAATTCACAGAGTAAAACAGTATTGCAAAAATACTTCACTTAATTATGCTTCGTAGTTGAACAGTAAATAATAAAAAAATTTTTATGCATAGTTATTTCATTTTATTAAGTTGTTATTAATTTTAATTGAAAATGATTGCATTTTTCATTAAGAAAATTCTAATTTCTTGAAAAAATTTTTAAATTAAAAATAACAATCAGTAATTATGTAGGACTAATTTTTAAAGTTAATTAACGAAAAAATAGCAAGCAAATTTTTTGTATAATTTGAATTTAAAATAATTTTTCACTATTTTCAGCCAGTATTTTCAATAATTTAAGTATTTTTTATACATAAAAATATTTAAATTAAAGCACAATATCTATGAATTGCATGCGGTTAAACTAAAGAAATTCCAAGCAAAATTATTTAAATATTTCAAAAAAAGATTGATAACCAGTTTTTACCTCTTTTCCATCTCTTCCATTTCATTAGCATTGTGATCAAGACTTGATGATCGATGCAATATCAAAGTTTCAGTCTTGACTGATTCCATTGTTATAACTTTTTTCACTCCTGCTATTACTCTGCACTGTTTACTTACCTAAAAGAGTCGTGTCCACTTTAATTCTTTCCGTGACTGAATCACAATGAACTAATATAGAAGTATTTCAATGTGATTTAAAAAAGAAATCTATGTAACATTATAAATAATAAATTTTATCATCAAAATGGACACAACCATTTGCTAACAATGAATTATTAAATTTTTTTTAAATAATATCAAATAACTACAATTTAAGCATTTTTTTTTGATCCATTTTATTTAATTAGTTACTACGAATACGATGAATTATTGCAAGATTGTGATCTGGCGGAGATAAGTTCATAGACTGAATGATTTTGAACGAATGATTCACCAAGATTTTTGCTTGCTATTTAAATATTTGAATTTGTTTGAGTTGTAGAATCATGAAGAATCAATTTTTGGTTACATCTGCCCCACATATTTTGATCAATTTGAAAAAAACTTCAATGAGCGATTGGTTTTATTGAGAAATTGGGTAAGTTATGAATCCAAAATTAATTTTTTTTTTTTCATTGAACGATCTACTTCATTTCGTGGCATATATATATTGGAAGAACTGACATATATCCGAGATTGCAGGTCAAATGCCAATCAATATACAAAGAGAAATAAATCAAAGATAATAATATAAAGTTTTAGCTCAAACTTCGCTTAAATTTTGTTGAAATTTTTTGACACAAATTAATAATTTTCTACTTAATCAAAAACTAAAATAAAATAGAATAAATTGCAATTGCTTGTACTGCAAGTTTTGTGAAAACAGAAATACAGATCGATGTTGATGGTAGACGAGCAAAAATTCATTTACAATATACAGCTGTTCAAGCAGCAAAATTTAACAACGTAGGAATGTTACTTAGGTGAAAACCAGTGAATAGCTACAGAAACCAACTTGATTGGTAGTAGCTATTGCTTTGATCTTCAGAAAATACCAGATTTCTTGAACAGTTATAAAATTTCTTTTTGATGGAATTTTTACAAGGTTTCAAACGATCAATATTAAAATTTTGTTTTCAATAAATATATATATGCTAGTAACAACTTTTACTTCCTTGATTATCAACTAAAATAATTAAGATACTTTCAGTAATAAAAAATTTTTTGCTTATTTGCTATAGAAATGATATTGAAACTTCGAATAATTAGATTTTTCTCAATCTAAAAAAAATATGCTAAATTAAATACTAAAAAAAATTAAGCCTTATTCTTTTCATTAATACAAGTTGCATTCTATGTAATTTTTTATACAAAATTATGTTATTGTGTCTATTAAAAATATTTGGCTAATTTTACCATTAAAATTCTGCAAAAATATGCAAACAATTTAAAATTCTAATAAGTAAATAAATAAACATAGCAAACTCATTCCTACTTTTGTAAAGTATACAATGTTTTGTGAGTAAAAAACAATTTTTTGCAACACTTTTTGCCTCTTTTAAAGTATTTTTTTTCAAGAAGTCTGAAGGCAACACAATATTTTGTTGAAAACTTTTCAGTTTCGATAAAAAGCAAAAAATTGAATCATTGCAAATTTTTGTTCAAAAATAATAATTTGTTTTAATATTTTCCTCAGAAGTCAAGAAAAGAAGCCCTGACTTGGCAAAATTATCGTCTTTAGAATTAATAAAATAATAATAACTTGTATTACTTTACTTGTATGAATTATTTTCGCATGCATCTAATTGTTCTCCGAGAATGAAAGAAGAAAAGTAAGCTTACAGTTTTCATAAATCGATTCATTTCATTTTCTGGAAGTTTGCATAGACAGCGAAATTCAGATTCGAAACAGCATAAAAAATAATTAATGGTGAAAATTTTTTTTTTGATCAAAAAAAGTTCTATCTTAAAAAGCCTTTTTTTTTGGTTTGCAATGGGTTAAGTATCTTTTGAATTATAAACTCCAATTATGAATAATTTGGTATAGATTTTGTATAAATCTATTTGCGAATTGAAGGTCATTGCAATGAATTGGTGTACAATGTCTGTATGCCAAAAAATACTGGTTGACAAGGCAAAAAATCAAAAATTACATATGCAAAATGAAATAAAAAGTTATGCAAAAATCATATGCAAAATCAAATAATTCTCAAAAAGTTGAGGGAGAATACAAAAAAATAATTCCTCGTAAAAACGAGTTCACACTCTGTTCTATATTTACAAGTAAAGATTATATTCAAAAATATTGAAAAAAATGAAGTGATAACAAAATAAAGCTACAGTATTGAACGGTATTTAATTATAGTAAGAAAATGAATAGTAAGAGCATAAGTAAGTAAGTTCTATTGTATCATGAATTAAGTGGACAGTTTTATTGTCAGTTTTGTAAATTGCAATTGTATGTTCAAATTTAACACTATAAATGAAGATCAACACAAGCTGTTACAGCAAAATAGATATTAAATTAACAGTTATAAAATTTGGTTTACATTTTTTGCTCCGATTAATCATTACTTGATGGTCTGAATCAAACTGATATCTACTTCTACAGTTGCAGTACAAAATGGTGATGAAGAATAATCAGACAAGAACGATAAAAATTACACATATAAAGCACATAATTGCTTTTTTCTTGTTACATTTTACGTTATTCGAAAACGAAAGATTAATTAAAAATGGAATTACAACATTACAGAAAAGTAAACTTGAAGAGAAAAACCTTTAAACAACAAAAATAATATCGGAATTAACAATAAATTATTGAGAATGTGAGAGCGGAATGGCTGAATTCACAGAAGTCATGCACTGAAAAACAGACATTTTTATAAGCTATTTTTGGAACTAGGAAAATAATATAATTCTACGAAAGGAAAAATACTGAAAAGATAAGAAGACGAAGTAAGAAAGAATAATTTTTTTCAAAATATTTTTGCTGATGAATAATAATATAGCAAAACTGCCACAAAAAAATGAGAAAGTAGTGATCAGACACGTCATTTATTCAAACTTTTCACGCAGAGCAAAAAAGAACCAACTGAATGTATTTTAGCTTTCAACAAATTATGCGACAAAACTTTAAGATAAATTAAGACTTTAAGATAAAGCTTTAAGATAAATTTAACGCAATGCTAACTCATATGAATATATTATATGTTATATTAAAGTTGTTCTCAACGTCAAAAAAGCTTGATAAAAATTAAATTCGCACATATTTCCACAAGTAAAAAGGAATTTAAATTCCGATTATCTTCAAAACTAAAAAAAACAATGCAATAGCTTAAAAGTATGCAAATATTAAATAAACAAAAGAGTTTATAATAGAAATTTAAAATTTTGCTGTAATATTAGTAAAATGCATGAGACTACCATCATCTGCTAATAACAAGTGAATGAATCAGCTGTTTAAGATAAAATCTTGAAAATATATGAGAATACCAATGAACATTAATTGAGCAGGAAGAGGTGGACAAGAAGAGGCCAGGAAGATAAAATGAAACACTGAAAAAATTTATTTCATGCAAATACAAAATTAAGAAGCCAAAGCTATAGTTTGCACCATGAAAAACTATTTTACATAAGATTAAGGATGAGAGTGCCAGTTTTTCATCTTATTTACTTAATTTCTTATCAAAATAAGGGAATTAAGTAAGTATGAGTATGGAAAAGATCAGATGAAATCCATTCAAATGATGCAATTTCCTATTTGCTTTATAACAGAGAATTGAACGAACGAAATGCACCACCGAAAGTAAATAATACTGAAAATGACTAATATAAACTACAAGTCTTTTGATTTTTCTCTCTTGCAATAACAAAACACACGAAATAAAGAAATCGCTTAGAAAACAAATAGCACTTCAAACTTCTATACTTCATGCTTTCTATTGAAAATAAAAGCACACAGAATACTGCTCGCAACAATCCTGAAATCCTATCAGTTTTCAAATTTTGTGTTTCTACATAAATTGCGGATTTACGAACAAATTAATTAACTTGCAGATATACAACACTGTTATAGAAATGAGTAATACAATTCTAAAAAATTTAAACTAAATAAGCTGATAGGATTTCAAATTAATTTTAAAATAATTAAAATTAAAGAATTTAGAAAATGAATAAATTGATGAGAGGAATGAAATAGTATTTGAAGAAGTATGATGACTGTCGAGCGGTATTTGCATAATTTATTAGCTAATGAGATTGCGAGAGGGTGGAGATAAGTTGTATCACCAGCTGTAAACACTAAAGGTTATATGCAGATTTTTGCGTGATTCTTTCAAATGTTTACGCATTCAATACGTCATCATATCTTTTCACACTGCTTAATCAAAATGGTTTGAACGTGTTAACTGCCATCAACAAGAAACTGGAAATTACGCAGGCCGCGATTTGAGTCAGTGTGTATGGACTACTCTGTAAAAGTGTCGTCACGTCGCAGTTTTTGGTATGGGTCGGAAACGACGCTTTCACCTTGTTGTATGGTTGCTATGCGCAAGCATTTGTGTCTTTTGTACAGAAAAGAAGTCACAAAGGAAGGTGGGCTTTTCTACATCAATTTTGTGATATATGTGCTATGTGTGCATCTGTGTCGGTATGTGTGTAGGTGTGTGTGTAGGTGTGTGTGTGTGTTGATCGTACTACTTGACTGTATGCTAAAAAGATGTGTTGTAGACAACCAGTTTAAGTAATCATGACAAGTTTCAGGATATTCGAGATTATACAGAGCGTGATTTGGAGAGATTGTATGATGAGTGGGAGGAAAACGATGCAGATAAAATGGAGGAGGAAGAACTTCCGCCGTACAAACGACAAGTGCAACAGCCTGATCTGGAAAATATCATGAAAAAGGTATATTTGGAACTATTATTTGCAGGAAAATACTGAAGGTAGCATGCTTAGTTTTTCATTTTTTGTTTGTAGAAGGCAGAGTTACAATATTGACAGGTTTCTATAATTACCACAAGTTGACCGAAGTTAAATTAGACTTTTCAATATTCATTTAGCAAGTTTTATGTACGTAACGAGAAAATTATTAGTTGAGGCGAAAACGCCGGAAGAGTTAATGATGTTATCCAAGAAGGGGCAGTCTGTAATGATGTTTGTGGGCATTGGTGATGTTGATAGCAAACCAGCCGAAAAGTTTTACACGGAGAGGTGGATTGGAATATGGCAAAATAGTCTCTTCAACAACCATATCGATGTGCAGGTTTGTTTCTGATTTACTTTCTAATTTTAAAACATTTTGTTAAAGCTATTCGTTGCAAGAAAAGTAAAGGTTATGTGAAACACTTTTGAGAACTTTGAGGATATTTTTTTAAATGCCTAAATTTGACGTACTGTCTTCGTTTTCCTCTGATTGATTTAGTAGTAAGCTAGTCTTGGGGAAAATTTTTATCAGCAAAATCAAGATCCAGTCATACAAAGCTGTGTATGACAAAATTTGTCGACTTTACGTCTAACATTTCTGTACAGTTTGATAGTTCCTTGATTCATTTCAGACCTTTACCATCGAAAATAACCGCGCAATTTTCATGTTTTCCGATGGGTCAAAAGCTTGGGAAGGAAAGGATTTTCTATTAAGACAGCCGCAAGTAAGCGAAGTGTCGCTGGAGGGACGACAATATCCTGGACCTGCCTTCAGAGAAAAAATTAAGCAAGACTTATAGTTTGAAGTTCTTAAAAAATTATATGACACAGATAGTTCCTTCTTCGTTCGATGTAGCGTTCGTTTTTGTCTTTGGCAGTTTATCAAAGATCTTATGTCCTGTTTCTTTTACTCAGTACCTACTTGTACTGTTGTATTATTCGTTTCAATTCATCCAATCACTATTATGCCCAACGCTTAAAAAAAGTCAGTGCTTGATTCAGTCCACTTGCGTCGATATTTTATATCTTATTTTCAGTGTAATACATTACAGAAAGAGCTCTTCATTACTTGTTAGCTATTGTTTATGTTATACGTTATCAGCATATATATTTGGAACTTGGTTCATTGAAAGGCGATTCTACTAATCTGACTGAGACTCCTTATCTCTGTACAGAAGTAGTAATTGTATCACGTGGCATAACGAAATGACTACTCAGGAACAAATCTGTCAAGTTTGCACAAACTAATTTTATCGTAAAATATCGACCAACTGCATATAAGTTACTAACATTCCATAATAGACCCACATGCTATACACCTCAGTGGGGTACTTTGAATATGTTTGAATAGGTTTTTTGTTTTTTCAAATTCTGATCAACAACATCAGTTGCTATACCGTTCGGATGGATATATTATTTTTGGGATGAATATTAAGATAATTTATTATAATGTCAGGTACATATCAATCAGAATAAAGCAGTAAGGAGAATATATTACATAACATTGGCTACATAACGATATCACAGAAATTTTATTGCAAGTGCATCAATATATGGGAGTTTTGCACAAAATTAAAAGGAAATGGAGAAAAGACATGAAGTTAATAGATTTTGTTCACCGAGAATATAGTTTTATCGAATAGATCTGGTGGTTCTGAACTGTGGGGCACTGTGATAAAGAGCAAGTACATACACTTCTGGACATTATTTTTGGTTTCATTCACATTTGCGAACAAATTAATTACATGAAATGAGAATGCTGTTATTTCCCCAAGTCTAAAAGGTTTCTTTAACTAAAAAAATTTTATTTTAAATACTTGAAGGTTATGAAAACTTTTTACAAGCATCGAAAAGTTTCCTATGAAAGTTCGTGTAATCAAATTCTTTGAAGTTCTGATTGAAATATGTGCTGAAGAAATTAAGACAGCAAGAATGTTCGGAGGGCGGGCAGAAATACATGATTGAAAGAAGAAGCTGGTTCAAATAGGGTAAGCTGAAGAGCCATTACTACTGATGGATAAACTTGGTAGTTTCCCTCCACAGGAAATGGTCCTAAATTTGGAAAATTAAGATCTCAATAATGACTGTAACAAAACTGGTTTATGTGCAGATCACTATCACTGTCAGGACTAAATCATAATAAACTAATATAAATAACTATGTCAATTTCTTAGTTAATTGAAAGCATATCACACTTTAATTGCATATAAACATAAAACTGACTTACTTCAATTATCTTCTTCTTGTTTTAAATGATCCGCTGCTAGCGGCGAATCTCCCATTACAAAACTAACTTTTAGATCATGTTTTTCACCACTACCTTTTTTACCTTTTACTACATCTGCGTAGCTCAAAGGAAATGTCCCTTCATTAAAACTGACCACCTCACATGAATCATCCGAATCACTGGAAGAACTTTTGATGGAAATGAATCAGAAAGATCATTCATATTTTAATTAAAAAAGTATTTACTTCGTTTAGTATCGACATTTCAATATTGCTAATATACATTATCCACTTTTGTATTCGTTCTTTAGTTCTTTTGAAATTGTGAGTGAAATTGGAGAAAAGTAAGAGAAACAGAAAGTCATTACGTTATATATTTATAAAACACAGACTAACAAGCCTTGAAATCCCTATAATAGTAACTGAGCTATTTAACCTTGAAATATCTGAAAGTGAAGCAGACGAAAGTATTTCACTTCGTTGAGTCTCATCTAATATTTCGGGGGCATCGGTCAATCTGATAAAAGAATCGAATAATTTCCAACACAGCAGTGAATAAAGTTGAAATTGCAAATTCTACACGAATTAAAACACCTTATGCTAATTTAGAGATCAATTAAGAAATCTTTAGGTAACATAGACTAAATGACAACCAAGGAATGTTACAACAATCACATATTCATGAAACAAATGATAAGAAAATTAAAAAAATAGACCTATCTGTGAATTCCTTATTTGATAAGTTATCTTGATCGATGACAACAAAATCCGATGCTGAAGAAGATGTTGAAAGACTTTCTAAATTTTCCAACAAATATTCCTCAATAGCTTTATCAATATCCCAACTGTAAGACTTCAATAAGGAAAGAGCTGTTTTAACATCGTTCATATTCGTCATTGCCTTAATAAATTAATTTTTGCATCAACAAAGAAACTACAAAAATGAAATTATTAATACACTAAGAATCCCCCACATCTCCCAAAATTACATGCTAAAAATGAAGCAAGACTAAGAAGCTGCACTTTTTGAATAATAAAACTGCAGTGTTTATTTGCATAAAAACTTTGAATACAAATATTTTGAACTTCTAAGACAATATGATAAATTAAGTGTGAATTTTAATTTAAGAAACAAAATAATGTGATTTTACAAAATTTTCATCCATTTCAAAGAATCATCTGTTTTCAATTAACTCAACTGGGAGCATGAATCTTTTCAAACCACAAAGTGCAATAAAGCTCTTTGATTCTAAACCTGTAAAAATATACATGTTCAAAATATTGCTAACACTGAGAAACAAATACTAATAGCAAACAAAAAGATGAATATATAAAACTGCAGTAGGAATTATTGAAATTCTTAAAAAGTTCTCAAAATCAAATTTTCTAAGGGGTTCAAGAAGTTGTAGAAGGCCATCACGAAAAAATAAAGTTTAATAAAGTGCTCCATTAGACATTCCTGGATAATACATCATATTTCTAGTTACGAAAAGTATTACATATCTTTTTACTTCTTAACCTATGTCACAAGTTTACTGTAGTATAACAGCATATAAACACTCTGAAGAACGCAATGAATTTTCTTATGAAACTCTTTTACTTAAACTGCAGTCAAATAATAAATGCAGCAAATTTTGAGTCCATCCTTTATTTCTAGATTTTCTATAAATCATTTAATCTTATGATCATGACCAGCTTTAAAAATGAAATATATCAACAAAGAATGAAAACATGTTAGAAATGCTTGAAATCATAATAAACTGACTTCTAAACTTAGAAAGCCTCACTAAATTTGATGTAGAATTCATAATGATATATTAATTGAACAGCTTGGAAAAATCTGGTGAACTCTGTGATTGCAGAATTTTTTGATTTTTTCTTCACTTATTATTTGAATCGCAGAAAAGTGCAATACACAGTAGAGTACACAGCCGATGGTAATTATATAGAAGCTTTCATATTTAACTTAGAGCGTAGCGAAACTAGAAAAGAATGGTAGAATTAACAAGTATCACACTTACCAAAAAGTGATCAAGTTTCGATAACTGCCAACCTTCGAAGTCACTTGAGTTGTCCATCGACTGGTACAGTAATGTCAGTGAATACTGTATATAAGGTCTGGAAACTGAAAACGCTCACGTTTCCTTATTGTTCTAAAATAATACTATCAGCATTACAAAGCAACATTTTATATAACTGACTTCTTGGAACTTAACACAAAAATTGATTTTTAATTACGTATTAAACCAGAGGGGATTAGAATAAAACTAATAAGAGAAAAAATTTTTCAGCAGTAAAATTCACGAATAATGAACAACATTATGTTATAAGATCAGATTTCCTGCCACCTTCAGCAAGGAAATGTTACACAGATAGACAAGACCAACTCGGTAAATAATGTGTGCTGGTTTATCCAGGAAGGAAATAGCCATGCAAAAATAATGAATGATTAAAAACTGCAAGCACCTTTCTAAAATCAATCAAGATTAAATAGGGAAGTAACATATCCTATCATATCTACATAATTCCCTTTTCAGTAAACTAAAATTAAAATTTCTGTAACAATTTTATCTCATCATATCCAAAAAAACTGCCATAAGAATTAACTCAACAGCAAAGCAAAATCATAAGCGTTACTATATAGTGCTCTCAGCGGTACTTCAGTGTCACTTCTGTTACTTATGTTTTCAATGCAAGCAAAAACGTAAGTAGCACTACACTCTTCACCATGAAGAGTGGCATGAAATTATTCCTGCTTAACTTCAGACAAATAAAGTGACACCGTGAATTGAAATTCGTAATAGAACTGAAACTGCAAATTGCTTATAAATCTATATTTCCACCAACCTTTTTTCCGTAACCTCAATAAGATCGAAGAACGATTTCCAGCAACCATATAAAAACAAACAAAGATTTAACAGATCAGAGTGGACCATTACCATCTCACCTCACTACTTTTTCCATAATAACGAGCAGGGAAAAAACATCATAACGAAGCCAAATCATTAAGCAATCTACCACAAAATCGAAAATCGAACAGAGGTAGAACAAGACATAAATGATGACTGTAGGGTTAAATATACAAGACGGACAATGTGATTGATAAAATTTATTGAAGCAGTGAGAATAAAGGAGTAAGTAATAATCAATGAACATAAGTTTTACATATTTCTATGAATATATAATGCACTGAAAGAACACTAATAAAATATCGACGCAAGTGGATTGAATCAAGCACTGACTTTTTTAAAGCGTTGAGCATAATAGTGATGGATGAATTGAAACGAATAATACAACAGTACAAGTAGGTACTGAGTA